AAAGAAAAAGTGAAGATGAAGTTGCCATTTACGTTTTGCAACAAGAAAGAAGAAAGTCTGTTGCTATGGATTGCAGAAATCCAGACGTATGTGAGTACCGCACCGGTCGAGCCGTCGCGTTCACCACTTCTTGCATGGGTGGTGAGGCCAAGCAATGGGTGTTGGCGGAGGCCAATGCGGCGGGTTTCGAAGATATCGGTGAGTGGGCAAAGACACTGACGCTGAAACAATTCTTGGCAAAAACCAGGGACCGTTTTCTCGACAAGACGACGGCCGACAAGGCCTTTGACCAGTTGACGTCAATTGGTCAAAAGCATTGGACGTCAGTTGAGGTTTTGTCCCGAGAAGTTGACCGATTGTTGCAAGTTCCAGGATTGAACCTGCAAGACAGCCAAGTGTTGTACATCTATTCCCGCGCGTTGCCTGAGCCCATCCGGGGACACTTAGTCACTGAAGCGAAATCCGGTAAGTACAACTACAGGCAATTTCGTGACCTTGCCCTGCAGAGGGAACAAATGACTTCTCAAGTCAAGAATTCCTATGCAGCGGTAGTTAAATCTAGAGGAAGACAGTACAATGGGAAACGAGTTCTCTGGCGACAGAAGCGCCAGGACCACACCCTTGTCGTCTTTGATGACGACACAGTGGAAAAGTGGCCAAACGAGGAGAATGATAACAACAGTGACTCTGGGAAGGGGGAAGTCACTGCTGTTGTGGCCAATAAGGGAGGACCACCCAGGACAGGAGGGAAGAAACAAAGAGCGTTTCCATGGCACCCTGACATTGCTGATGGGAAGCCATGGGTCGAAATGGGTATGACTAGAAAGACTTGGCAAGAGCACATGGACAATGCGCAATGTCTCAAGTGCGGCACAGCAGGACATGTGATCGCCTACTGCCCTCAGATCCGGAACCCAAAAGCGAACAGCCAGTAGGCGCCTACGACCAGACAGGTAAGGCGCCTACGACCCCTTCCTACCGGACATGAGATTAAGGGTAAGAACGAACAGACAGGTAAGGCGCCTACGACCCCTTCCTACCCTTCTTCTCAATTGGCAGAGGATGATTCTTCCTTAGCCCATCATCCAGATCGCCCTGATATTG